CGACTCATGAGCAAAGGGAGAACTTCAAAGATATGATAGCTCAAGGTCTAAGTAGATATATTCCCACAAAAGGGAAATGTGCGACAACCAAGCCAGCCTGGATGACCAGGGATATTCTGTCTAGGATGAAAAAGAAGAAGACGGCGTACGACAATTGGAAGACGCAAGACACTGAGGATAGCAAAGTGCATTATAGAGAATGCAGGAGTGATCTTAAAAGAGCGATAAGACAGGCTAAAGATTGCATGAGAAGAGGTTAGCGGGTAACATAAAGGGGAATCCCAAAATATTTTACAAGCACATAAAGGAAAAAGGTTAGTTAAAGGTAGGGTGGGGCCAATCAAAGACAATGACGGCCGTCTTGTTGTGGAGGCAAAGGACATGGCTGATGTACTAAACGAGTACTTTGCATCTGTCTTCATAATGGAAATGGATGCCACAAATGCCACAGTATTGGATGAGAGGATAGAGGAAATAGATCAGATTACTATAGACAGAGAGGAAGTTCTGAAAAGATTGACTGAGCTCAAAATTGATAAGTCATCAGGACCCGATGGGTTTCACCCAAGGTTGCTGTGTGTTAGAAAATCCAAATAGGAGACACTCGCTCAAATGGATTATATTGGTTCTTTAACACTCAGAATCCCAATGGGTTAATACACTCGGTTAATTGCCCTCAGGCACGGCCATCGTCCCAACTATCTATTAGTTACAATCGTACTGGACTCCTAATTTCTGCGAGTACCACGGCCACCGTCCCAACTATTTACTAGTTACGGTCGTACTGGACTCATAAACACGTCAACTGCCGAATGTATTAATTCAGAGTATCCTGCCGAATCCCAAATTGTTAAAAAATAAAATCAGCCAAATCTGTAAGGAAATAACACTAATTCCTTTAACCAGATATCTGACTGTTTTATTATTATTCGTTCGTTATTCCCCAATATCCCGATGGCTCAGACCAAAGGCCGGTACAATCAACAGATCTTATAACAGAACAATACCACTGTAGATATCTCGAGTTCAACACTGTGTCTTTACTACACATAAGCTTGATTCTTCATGCTTTCAGTCTTCTTGCTTACAGCTTTCAATCTTCCATCTGATATCCTCAGCCTTAGTGTTTCTAGCTCTGTCTTCCATCTCCGTACCCTTGTCTCCGCAGCCCGGGATGGCCCCATCTCCCGTATCCTTGTCTCCGCGACCCGGGACGGGCCCGTACACAAAGTTATCGGAACTCTTATCCCGATGCTCGTCCAATCATGGTGCGGACATTAGATGGTGCTGGTCGAAATCATGCTGGGTTCACGTGAACACCTCATGGGGTGTACGTGCCTCAGCACACATACACGTTGTCCTTGTCTAAGATAGAGGATTGATCTGTTTAGGGCTGTATCTGGTGCTCATTATTTTGTGGTGTGGGATCATTAGTACATTCCTTTTAAGTGACTGGTTATTTCTTATCAGTAACCCGGGATGGTACCAAGGTCCTCTAGTTTAAGCAATTTGCTCGTTAGCTGCTATTCTTGAGGGTTGCCTTTTGTTGCTCTTGAGTGTTTATCATGAGCGTCAGTCCAGTTGCCCCCCACACTTAACTGAAACATTAACCCGTTCTCAACATCTATTATGATTCTAACATTGTACAAAAAGTGTAAATTCTAACATGTGAGAGATACGGGTTCAAATAATGGAGGCTTTGGCCATTATATTTCAATCTTCATTGGACACAGGAGTGGTGCCAAGAGACTGGGGAGTGGCTAATGTTACCCCCCTCTACAAAAAGGGGCAGAAAGACAAACCAGGAAATTACAGGCCAGTCAGCCTAACTTCGGTAATAGGAAAACTACTGGAGACCATAATCCGGGACAGAATAAATCTCTACTTAGAGGAACATGAGGTAATTAGAGGCAACCAACATGGATTTGTTAAAGGCAAATCTTGCCGAACAAATCTAATAGAATTTTTTGAAGAGGTGACTGCGACATTAAGGCACTGGAAAGGGTGCAGAGGAGATTCACGAGAATAATACCAGGAATGGGGAACCTTAGCTATGAGGACAGGCTGGAGAAGTTAGGACTTTTCCCATTAGAGCAGAGACGGTTACGCAGGGACCTGATAGAGGTCTTCAAGATCATGAAAGGTTTCGACAGGCGAGATAGGGAAAAGCTGTTTCCGCTGGTAGGTGTGTCTGTGACTCGTGGTCACAGCCTTAAGATATCTACTAAAAGAAGTAGAGGGGAGGTTAGAAGAAATGTTTTCACTCAGCGAGTTGTTGGAATTTGGAATGATCCGCCCGAAAGGGCAGTGAAGTCCGATTCGATAACAGCTTTTAAGAGAGAACTGGATAGGTATCGGGGGAAGACGGGTTTGCAGGGTTATGGGGAGAAAGCTGGTGATTGGGGTTAGTGAAAGTGACGCTCTGTCAAAGAGCCGCACAGGCTCGATGGGCCGAATGGCCTCCTTCTGTGCCGTAACATTCTATGAAAAAATACTTGGATTTATAAAGTGCCCTTCACATGTGGCAGCATCTCGGAGCCCAACACCGAGCTGGGGAGAGGTAGGAAGTGACCGTAAGCACAGTCGAAGAGGAAGGTCTTCAGTTGTGATCTAACTGAGGGGAAGGAGGGGACAAGGTGGAGGGATGGGAGGGAGAGAGTTCTGAAGCTTCGTGGCAGAGTGTAGTGGCTGAAAGCGTGGCTGGCGATGGTGGAGGGGATGAGCGGTGAGCAGGAAGCTCGAGCCAGCTGAGCAGAGGCAATGGTTAGTAGGGAGAAAGGAGGTCAGGAAGATAGGGAGGTACCAGAGCGTAAGGGATTTATATATGGACTATATATGGGAATATCTACTCCACATTGTATCAGCTATCTGTAGGGATTTCTATTCCACATTGTAATGACTATCTGTGGGAATGTCCTGCACATTCTAGCGACCATTTGTGGGAATGGGAAACCAAAAGAGGGAAAAAAAGTGCAGATTGGGTAATGGCATCTGAGAGGAAGATGGGTTAGTGTTCTGACTGGGCTTTTCTAGCTTTCCTTATTTTAGATTTCAAATGTTCATTCTTAGTTCTCTATCCACTTCTTTAGTGGAATCCTGTGGCTCAGTGGTTAGAGCACTCGCCTTGCAAGCGAAAAAACTGGGTTCAATTCCCGGCAGGGTAAAACTTTGGGCAAGTTTCCTTACTCCACGTGTCTGATAATAATCCCTCAAAAAAATAATAAAATTGGTCACTTCAATCCACGACTGTTTGTGGGACGCCGCTGTGCGCAATTGGCTGCCGTGTTTCACCCACAAATATACGGTCAATTCACTTTACAGTATATTCTGTGAAGCGCTTTGAGACGTCTAGAAGGCGTGAAAAGCGCTATATCAAATGCAAGGATTATTATTGTTTTATTATTTTGACTAGAATAAACCTCAGAGCTTTTACTGCTGCAGTCTAACGAGCTAAAAGCACATAGTTTGCCATTGATAGCATTGTTTGTCAAGCTTTCTCACTATTTGTCCGGCTAGGCCCACCCTACCCATTGGGGCTTTGGCTTGAAGGGTTAACAAGGCTGCTTTTGCAAGCTGACTGATAACTAGCAGTGACAGGTTTGCTGCCTTTTTCAGTTCCAAGAGGTCATATGCTCTGTTGCTGTTTGCCTCAAATTATACTGCTTTGTGTTTGGTTGCCATGTGACAAGCATACTGTTGTTACGTATTAAGATGTTGTTTCATTGATAGACATCTTGCATGTCTTGCCTTGTCAGCCTACACTAACAGAATGGGTTGTGCGAAAATATGACCATTTGCAACACAGACACACGCCTACGGGCTTTGAGCTTCGTACCTTTGTTTGTTCTCCACCCCAAATGAATCGGTTTCCTGGCAATAAGATAAGGTTCAAGATTTCCTATTTGGCATTGAAAGGTTAAACGTTAATCTAGACTGCAGCTCTTTCGTCCCCTGGAGGAGAAATATGCAATTGTTACTGAACGGCTTGAGATGAACTGGTTGGAAACGCCAAGCGAGAGAATCCATCCATGTTCTTGCGTAATTAGAGAAGGAGATTGTTTGAAGTGTATAATGCTGCCAGATTTAATATGGCCCTAGGTTGCCGACGGACCCTTTTAAATGGCTTGTGCAATATTTTCTACCGATATGTCACTTTGTACTGTTCTGCATTTAGTTTGCTTTGATGTAATGAGAGATGAAAGTTATTAGTGCTGGGAATGAACAAACAAACAAAATTGCATTTATATAGCACCTTTCGTGTCAGAAGGTTGTCCCAAGTCAATGGACAGTTAAGGGTTTGCACCCAAGCTGGGGTTTGGAATCGAGGGGTGGAGGGTAGGAGGGTGGACGAAGGCACTGTCAAAGAGGAAGGCTTGAGCCAGGCCATGCGGGAGGCAAGGGAGGGGACGAGGCAAAGGGATTCAGGGATGGAGTTCCGGAGGGTGGGGGTAGATAGGCTGAAGGCAGGCAGGACAGGGAACAAGGAGCGAGCCAGTGCCCGCTGAGTGGAGGGAGCGGACATGTTGGTATGGTGTTAAGTGGTCACGGAGGTAGGAGGAGCACCACAGTGGAGGGCTTTAAAAGTGAGGACAGGGATTTTAAACTCGATCCTCTGAGGAATGGAAAGGCAGTGGAGCCGGGCGAGGATGGGAGTGATTGGTTCACGGAATTTGGGGCGGGAGAGGACACGAGCTGCAGAGTTCTGGGTCTGCAATGAACTCTCTTTCAACAATCAGACTATTGTATATAGCAGGGAGGGAGGGTCGGGGCGGGGGAGAATATTATGCAGCAGGGATGAGGTGGGATGGGGGGAGGAGAAACATGACCAATACGTCACAAAGCTTCTGAAGGACCATAACCAAGATGTATATTTGTCTCTCTCTCCTTTCTTTGTTTCTTTGTGGAGGCTGAATGCTATTTAAAACCATGTGTAAAACCTTCCTATTTTCCACACCTTGAATTTGTGGCCTTTATACTGATTGTGTGCTATATTATTCCAGATGTGCTGCTGGCTTGGACAATGTTGCAGGCCAAGATTTTCCAAGGTCAGTTATAATGCCCTTGTCCCAGTGAACATCTCCACAGGACAATTTCTTCTAATGGGTGAGTCACAAGATACAAGATGTATATGTCGGGTCTTAGAATAATAATAATAATAATAATAATAATAATCCTTGCATTTGACATAGCGCCTTATCACATCATTGAGATGTCTCAACGCGCTTCACGGGATATATTGCCAAGTGGATTAACCGTGTATTTTGGGGGTGAAACGCAGCAGCCAATTGCGCACAGCAGTGTCCCACAAACAATTGTGGATTAAGTGACCAATTTTTTTTTTGAGGGATTATTAGCTCCCAGGGGGAAAAAAATATTCAATTTGTAATGTTTTTTCTAAATCCAGTGAAATTTCACAACTGCGGGCAAAATATCCAGCTGTCGACCAGTGACAAAAGATTTGTAATCCATCATGACGGACCTGTGCGTGCAACCCGGCTTCAGACGATCAGTTCAGTGTACAGGTTCCAAGTGATTGCAAAGGACTTGAAGACTCGGGAGACATTTGAAGCCCATGTGAATTTACACCCTTCAGAAAATCATTTGATTCACCGAAAACACAAGGTAAGAGGTGATCTGCAATTTTTTTCCTTCAGTTGAAAACGCTTTTGTGGCCAACTGGAATGTATACTTTTGATCACACTGTTGCTAAGGTAAAAGTCTCCAATATAATCATTGCATTTGAAATAACACATTATCACATCTTTGAGATGCCTCAAAGCGCTTCACAGAATATACTGTTGAAGTGAATTGACTGTATATTTTGTGGGCGAAACGTGGCAGCTGATTGCGCACAACAGTGTCCCACACACAAAAGGTAAACAGAATTTGGGCAAAACCACTTACAATTCTTTTTCTTAAAATGTCTGGTTCACATTTTTTCAATACAAATTTACATTTATTATAATTATCACAATAATGCAGCAGCTTTCACATGGGGAGGATGTCCCCAAGGCGATGGACAGTCCAGAGCTTGCCCCTGAGCTGGGAGAGGGGGGCCGAGATGTTGCAGTGTGGGGAGGAAGGTGATCGAAAGCGCAGTCATTTAAAAGCAGTGTTTATGGCGGCATTGCATTTCAGCTTTTATGGGTGGCTGGGTGGTTGGCAGGGGGAGATGATGTGGACATCCAGATAGTCAGTAAGCACGCAGGCATTGTGGCTGCCAAAATAAAACTAGGGCAGAAGGGGACTAGAGGAGAGAGCAAACCAATTTAAATAAAAAGTAAAGTCTTAATTGATTGAAGGATATAAATCAGCAAGGTTATTAAAATAATGAGTGTCATCCTGTAGCTCAGTGGTTAGAGCACTCGCTTTGCAAGCGAGAGACCTGAGTTCAATTCCAGGCAGAGGGCGAAACCTTGGGCAAGTTTCCTTACTCCACACAGAGCCTAATAATAATCCCTCCAAAAACAATAATAAATTGGTCATTTTCAATCTACGACTCTTTGTGGGACATTGCTGTGCGCAATTGGCTGCCGCGTTCGCCCACAAATATACAGTCAATTCACTTTACAGTGTGTTCTGTGAAGCGCTTTGGGACGTCCTCCCGACGTGAAAGGCGCTATATCAAATGCAAGGATTATTATTATTATTATGAGAATAACTAGCAGGAGAAAACAATAGCCAGAGGCAGAAGTGGATTAAAAGTTACAAAGAGAATCGGAAAAATACAAACTGAGTCGGAACAATGCCATTAAAGGCCCATGAGGTGTTGATTTACATTACCCATCTCTATTCAGTCTAGGGGTACAGGGGGATTAAGAGAATGGGTTGGGGGCCAAGTTGTGGGAGGGTGAGGGTGGAGGCGGTAAAAATGGCCGAAACTCAGTCAATTTAAAGCGATTGAGGCGTTTTGATAATCGCTATCCGACGTGTGAAGCTATAACTTGCTTGTCCATCTTCTTTGCAGATTATGAAAAGAAGCCCTGAAATAATCTATTTTCCCAAAAAAAGCATTTCCAGATGGCAGAAAAGGGAGTGGATCATTCCTCCGCTTGACATCATGGAAAACGAGCTACCAAATAAGAATCCCATTGCTATTGTAAGTAAGCCTCCTCTGTTTTGGATGATAACAAATAATAATCCTTGCATTTGATACAGCTCCTTATCACATCTTCGAGAATTCTCAAAGCGCTTCACAGAATATACTGTAAAGGGAATTGACTGTATATTTTGTGGGTGAAACGTGGCAGCCAATTGCGCACAGCAGCGTCCCACAAATCCATAGTCGTGGATTGAGTGACCAAATTTTTTTTTTTCGAAACTGATCTAAAATACTTGGGGCGGTAATTCCACTTAACTCCGCGTACATTTTATGATGAGTTTATCATGCTCGCTCCTTCCGCTCGGTAGACACTGACCTGTTTCACATCCCCTGCACTGCACTGCCCTGCCTGCCCCACCGTCAGCTGTTGGGCCTTCAGCTTTTCTACCCCTACTCTGCGGAGAATCTTTTCTTCACCCCTTCCCTCGCCTCCTTTGAGGTCCGTCTCAAGACCATCCTCCTTTGACTGCGCCTTCGGTCATCTTCAGCTCCCAACCTGTCAAATACAACGATTCTTATTATTATTATTTTCCTGCTGAAATTTGGGAACAAAGAAGGCAATTTCGGGACAGACACCAGGAAGTTTTTCTTTACTTAGATATGAATTAATAACTGGAACAGGTTGCCAGGAAGGGTATTTGATGCCAGGTTTAAACAAAAGCTTGATAGTGGGGGGGTATGGGGGTGGACGGTGGACTCCAGGGCACGTGTTCTGGAGAGATGAGATCAGATAGGCCAAAGGGCCTTCTTGATCCAAACTAATTCTGTGATCTAGTCAGCTCCCAAAGTCTACAATCCTAGTCTATTCAGGTGTCAGCCTGACTCAGTTGGTAGAGTTCTTGGCTCCAAGTCAGAAAGATGTGGTTCAAACCCATGGGATTCGAGCTCACAGTCTAGGCTGACTCTCCAATGTAGTGCTGGGTGGGGAGGAGGGATGTCAGATGTGTCAGCACTGCAAAAGTTAACCACAGTAAGGTACAGAGAGAGAAGACCATGCCAATTGCTGACTATCTGTAATGTTGGACATATCAATGCAAGGTTGGCCAGAGGAATGTGTGCTCGTTAGCAAGAGTAGAGATAATATTGATGGATAGTTGAAATGCTCATTAGTTGGTGTGTTTTTGGTACTAGGAACCTTGTGATTAAGAAAATGAGATCATTTTGTTTTCAGAATTCTGTAGTGGACAAAAATAGCATATAACAAAGGAGAGTTTCTAGCAATCGTTGGAAGCAGAACAGTCAGTTTATCTGACTGCCACCCTTGGGCGTAGCCGACCATCTCTACCTTGTAATAGAACTTTGATTCCAACACTCTACGTTTCGAAATACATCCGTTGTTCAACATTGAATGTGTAATTGTTTCGGAGGGAAGGGGATGAGGTTGACAGGGGAGTCCTGCGTTGTCGGAGGTGCCACCGTTTGGTTGAGCCATGATAGGCAGATCTTTAAATACTCTATCTGCACCCGTTCGTCTTCATTTCTCCTCTTCTCTCTACCCCTTTCCATTTATACTTTTTCTAAATTGGTACAATTTATGAACAATGAATCACTTGCAAGATTCTGCAGAATCTGACCTGGTGGCTGAAGGGTTAACACGGTACAAACGTTACATTTCATGCAGGGGAACCGTGTTAACCCTTCTCTCGCAGGAAGGCGCCTCCAGACTTTGTTCTTCGACTGTGCCTACGGGTCACCTCCCCCCTCCCCCTGACTTGGCATCAGGTTCCACCACTGTGAAGTGCTCTGGGATGTCATCCTGCGTGAAAGACGCTATACAAATGTAATTTGTTGTTGTGGTCTGTGTGTGTGTGTGTGTATATAGTATTGTTATCATTGAACATCTATCACTATTTCTTCTCTTTCAGATTAGGTCAGACTATGAAGATAATGGAATAAAGGTTACATATAAAATTTCCGGAAAAGGTGTTACCGAGCAGCCAATCGGTTTGTTTGTGATAGATCCGATTACTGGTGAATTAAATGTAACCCAAAGCATTGATCGGGAGACATACCCTAACTTCACAGTACGTCACAAGCCATTTTAACAACGTATTTTTTGAACGGTGGTGATGGTGAAACAATTATTCTTCATGCCCAGCTCTGCTTCCAGATGTTTCCTAAGTCTCTAAACGTCATTATAATAATAATAAATAATAATCCTTGCATTTGATATAGCGCTTTTCACGTCGGGAGGACGTCCCAAAGCGCTTCACAGAACACACTGTAAAGTGAATTGACTGTATATTTGTGGGCGAACGCGGCAGCCAATTGCGCACAGCAATGTCCCACAGACAGTCGTAGATTAAAAATGACCAATTTTTTATTATTGTTTTTGGTTTTGGAGGGATTATTATTAGGCTCTGTGTGGAGTAAGGAAACTTGCCCAAGGTTTCGCCCTCTGCCTGGAATTGAACTCAGGTCTCTCGCTTGCAAAGCGAATGCTCTAACCACTGAGCTACAGGACTCCACAAAGCAATCCCATATAATAATATATTATCCCATATAATAATATAATAATAATCCTAATAATAATAATAATAATAATAATCCTAATAATTATTAGGATCCTAATCCTAATAATAATAATAATAATAATCCTTGCATTTGATATAGCACTTTTCACGTCTTCTTGACATCTCAAAGCGCTTCACAGAATAGATTGTAAAGTGAATTGACTGTATATTTGTGGGCGAAACGCAGCAGCCAATTGCGCACAGCGGTGTCCCACAAACAGCCGTGGATCCACACATGCACACTTACTGGCGGCATTGAATTACGCACACACAGTATACATTATTGACTTGGACTTAGTGTAAGTCGTATTAAATGTTATGGTCCCGACTGATACGACTTGTGTGAATTTTACTGTATTCTGAATATCGGGAAGAGGTTTTGTTTTTCTTTCTCCTCTAAATTACAATCTCAAAGCTACTTTAAATTAGCGGAATAAGGAAGGTTTACAACGCGGAGGCAAAGGGTGGGAGGTGGGAGAGAGAGGACTGTGTTTTTTTGCCTGTGCTTAGCTTGATTTTTATTATAATACAATTTTCTACACTCAAACCCCGGCTAGCTGGGCAAAAGAGGGGTGGGGAGGAGAGGTCATGTGGGGAGGCGCTGGACAGTCAGGGATTTGCACCCAAGCTGAGTGTTGGGATCAGGAGGGGTGGAGGGCAAGGAGGGTGCCCGAAAGCATGATCGAAGAGGAGTGTCTTGAGACAGGCCTTGAAGGAAGCCAATGAAGGGACGAGGTGAAGGGACTGTGGAATGGAGTTCCAAAGGATGGGGGTAGAGAGGCTGAAGGCCCAAACACCGATGATAGGGCGGGGGTCATAGCGCAGACCGAAGCCCACTAAGTGGAGGGAGTGGACAGGTCTGTGGGTCGATATGCTTTGAGAAGGTCATAGAGGTATGCTGGGATGGCGACTGCGGGGGTTTTAAAGGTGAAGGTGAATTCAACCTGTGGTGGTGGGGGAGGAATGGGGTGCTAATGGAGAGCCTGCTATGGACTGCAAAGTTCTGGATGGTAAATATTTTGTCCAATGTTTTATGACAAGTTTCCTGAGGCTCTTGAAATATTTATTTTGCTAAATCACTTTCCTTTTATTTCAGTTGATAGGTGAAGCCTTTGAACTTCATTCAAATAGACAACTGGAACAGAAACTGGACCTTATCATTCGTATCCTAGATGCAAACGATAACTCTCCAGAATTTTCACTAGAAGTAATGGAATGCAGCATTGCAGAATTGAGTTCAGTTGGTAAGATATATTCTGGGAAGCTCGCAGGGAGTTCCTATCATCCACCTAGTGAGGGCTCAAACCCACCCTTGTCAAACAACCAGCTAGTGACTGTCCTTCTGTGGGGGAGGGGGGGGGTGGAGGTAAGTGGGGTCTCCTTGGAGTTGAACTGTTTCCAAGGTGACATGTTTGGCAACAGAATGTCGGGCTCACGCCAGCCCTCAGTGGTGGTCTCTAGTCCTGTTCCAGAGCTAGGCAGGTCTGCAATATTGCAGGACACTGCTGAAGACAGCACAGCCCAGCCTGGCTCATCGGTAGGACTTGGAAGGGCAGACCAGTCACGAGGGCAGGGATTCCTCCCACTCAGCTCCTGTAATTTAGCAGAGTTACCAACGCCGCCTCACCTAGGTTTTTTTTAAAAAACAAGGGTGGCTGCTGGTTACTTTCGACAGGTGAATAGAGGTGGTTGTTCTTAACAGGTTTGACTGTATGAAGTTGGTTAAATTTATGTTGTTTTCTTCCAGGAACCATCGTGCTACAACTCAACGCAACAGATAAGGATATAGGTAAAAATGCAAAGATTGCCTACAAACTTCTGTCGGCAACCAATTCATTTTGGATCCAACAAAGCGGAGCAGTCAAAGTTAACATTGCAAATCTTGATCGAGAGGTGAGTGGAAAAATGTTACTTGGTTTGAATCCTGCTTCCAACCCTTGGATTTGAAACCGACAGCCTAGCTCAGTGGTAACACTCTCGCTGACAGTCCAATGAAGTGCTGGCAGTATGCTGCATTGTCGGAGGTGCCGTCCTATGGATGAGACGTTAAACTGAGGTCCCTTCTGCCTGTTCAGGTGGATGTTAAAGATCCCACGGCGCTATTCAAAAAGAGAAGGGAGTTTCTCTTTCCCCGTGTCCTGGCCAACAATCGCCCAAATAAAGTTGGTCACTCACTTTATGGCTGTTTGTGGGACACTGTTGTTTGCAACTGTTGTTGACTGCCGCGTTTCGCCCACAAAATATACAGTCAATCCACTTTACAGTATATCCTGTCAAGCACTTTGAAACATCTCCATGACGTGCTAAGGCGCTATATCAAATGCAAGGAATATTAATACTATTGTTAAATAAACACAAGGATTATTATTATTTTTAGAGACCTTTTCACATCAAGAGGACATCTCAAAAGACTTCACACAAAGCATTATAAAGTAGTGACTGTATTTTGTAGGCAGTTTAACGTTAGGTAGTTTAGAGGTCCGTATGATGTGCAAATTTATGTGCCCTCAAACTGTGCTGTTTTGGATGGTGTCGGTTACTGCCAGAGATTTTTGATTCTCGTTTCTTGTAAACCTGTATCGACCTGTCCGCTCTCTCTGCTCCATTCTCCCTACCCATCCTGGCCTGGCCTACCATCAGCGGTCGGGATTTCAGACTCTCTACACCCACCCTTTGGAACTCCATCCCACAGTCCCTTCTACCCTCCCTGCTCTCCACCCCTCCTGATCCCAACCCCCAGTTCGGGTCCGAATCACTGTTTATCCAGTGCCTTGGGATGTCCTCCCAATGTGGAAGGTCCTATACAAATGTAATTTGTTGTTGTTGTAGACAAAAAACATGTATTCCATAATCGTCGAAGCCCGTGATGATGCTGGAAGTTCCAACGGATTAACTTCAACGGCGACTGTTCACATTAAGATAACAGATGTCAATGACAACGTTCCTAAATGTGAAAAAAATGAGGTAATGTTTATTCTCACGGTCTTTGTGAATTGTCTTTTTACTGAACTCATCCTCCTAGGGGAAGAGGTAAGTGGGGGTCTCCTTGGAGCTGAACTGCCTCCAAGGTGACATGTTTGGTAATGGAATGTCAGAATCGGGCCAGTCTTCTGTGGCCGTCTCAATAGCCCAGTTTCTGAGCCAGGCGGGTCCACAGTATTCCAGGGCACCACTGATCACAGCCCAACCAGCCTGGCTCATCAGCAGAACCTGGAAAGCCAGACCAGTCACTGGTGGCATGGAATCATCCCACTCAGCTCCTGTTAACCCCTGCAAGCCAAAGCCCTAACGGGTAGGGTGGTCCTAGCTGGACAAACAGTGGGAAAGTTTGCCAGATAGTGATATCAACCCAAACTATGCAGTTTTAGCTGGTTAGACTCCAGAAGTTACCCCAAAGCACACTCTGGGGTCCCCAAGTCTTGGCTCTTGCCAACTTGTGCCTAATACTAGGTAAGCAGGATGCATCCCTCCAGGGAGAGGATTCCAGCAATCTATCTTTGGAATTTCCAGGTGTAGGTGGGATGCATGGAATTCTCAGTTTGGTTTGGATCCTCTTAAGCACAGTGATGAGGGGGGGGAGGGGGAAATCTTACTGAAATGATACGATTTGCATTGGATGCTTACTTTCAGCTCAGTTTTTGTTTTGCATTACAATGTTGCAGCTTGGTGCTTAGTCATTAAGCGATGGACTTCCTCTACTTGCTGCAGTTACCCTTGTCATCCAACTGAGGAAGTCAATGGTACATGATCCCTCTTGCGTTGCAGTAATTTTAATCAAGCGTGTTCACAAAGTGCTTGTGGATAACAACAGGCTGTCTGATATTTCAGAACTTGCTTGTCCAGGGTTTCCTCGTGCTCATCTTCAAAGCCCTCCACCGTCTGCTCCTCCCTATCTCTCCAATCTCCTAACCCCATATAAGGCTGTCCGTTCCCTCTGCTCAGCGGACACCGGCCTGATTCAGGTCTCCTGCACTTCCCGTCCCACCATTGGTGGTCGGCATTCAGCATCTCTGCCCCCACACTCTGGAACTCTGTCCCACAATCCTTTCGCCTCACCCCCTCTCTTGCCTCCTTCAAGTCCTGTCTAAATATCTTCATCTTCGACCGTACATTCAGCATCCCCCTTCCACCCACGCCTCTCTGCCCTCCTCCCCTTCCTTCTCCAACTCCTAGCTCCAGTCCCAAACCCCTGATTGTCCAGCGCTCTGGGACATCTTTCCGACGTGAAGGTGGCTAGTGTAAGTTGTTGTTGAAGACTGTAAAGATCACTAGCTGCAATCCCCCAGAGGAGAGAGTTCAAAATCCTTGCCTTAAAAGCCCTCCACAGCCTTGCTCCTGCCTACCTCTGTGACCTGCTAACTCCATATAGACATGTCCGTTCACCCCACTCAGTGGGCTCTGGCCTGCTCCATTGTCTCCTACCAAGCCCACGCCGCCATAGGCCTTCAGCCTCACTGCCCCCATCCTTGAAATTCTATCGCACAGTCCCTTTGCCTCGCTCCCTCCTTTGCCTCCTTCAAGTATTATTATAACATCTCATCCAAAGGACGGCACCTCTTACAGTGCAGCGCTCTTCCAGCAATGCACTTGAGTGTCAGCCTGGAATGACTAGGTAGAAGGACCACAATTAGACAGAGTCAAACAATGGCTAAGATAGTTGTGTTCTATCATTTCAGTTTGAACAAGATGTGATGGAAAATCTACGCATTGGTGAAGCGCTACGCATCAAAGTATTTGACCTTGATCAAGAATTCACTGATAACTGGCTTGCAAAATTCATAATTATCAAAGGAAATGAAAACGGATACTTCCGAATTGATGTGGATAACAAAACAAACGAAGGAATTTTGGTCGTTCAAAAGGTAAGTTGTTTTTTTTTATGAAGCAAGTATAGGACCTATCTTAGTCTGGTGGGTCTGTGGTTGGAGTTATGAGAACGTTGAACAAACTCTTCCATTTGCTGACCACTACCTTGCCCAGCTCCACTGGCTCCCCATCCCCAAGAGAATAAAGTTCAAGATCCTCGTTCTCGCCTTCAAAGCCTTCCAAGGCTTTGTTCCTCCCTACTTCTGTGACCTGCTGACTCCATATCAAGCTGTCCACTCCCTCCGCTCAACAGGATCCGACCTGCTCTACGTCCCACGCCCAGCCCATCAGCGGGCCTTCAGCCTCTCTGCCCCCACCCTTCAGAACTCCATCCCACAGTTTCTTTGCCTTCCTCCCTCCCTTGGCTCCTTGAAGGCCCATCTCAAAATCCTCCTCTTTGACCAAGCTTTCAAACACCCTCCTAACCTAACCCTCCCTGCCCTCCACCCCTCCTGATCCCAACCTCGAGCTCGGGTTCAAATCCCTGACTGTCCAGTGACTTGGGATGTCTTCCCAACGTGAAAGGCGCTATACAAGTGTAATTTGTTGTTGACATTGTCAGTGTTCCTAAATTTTGCATAAATTTTGTGTTACCACTTCACAGAAAGTTGAATCTCTTTAAGTACTTGTTTTCAAGAGGAGGTGGGGAGCTAGATAGATAACTGAAAGGAATAATTTGTTCTGTGTGTGTGTGTGTATAAAGGCAGATAAATGGGACTCAATGGATTGCTTTTTCAAACAGCCAGCACAGACAGGATGGGCAAAATGTAGTTAGAATATAGCGCCTTATCACATCATTGAGACGTCTCATATCACTTCACAGAATATACTTCACTGTATTTTGTGGCCGAAAAGCAAATTGCACACAGCAGTGTCCCACATACAGTCATTGGATTGAGTGACCAAATTATTATTATTTATATTTTTTGGAGGGATTATTAACCCCGGAAGGGCGATCCACCAATCAACTAACAATCGGATTGTTAGTTACTTCTAGGTAAACGGTGGCATTTGGAAGTAAGGAAACTTGTCTAAGGTTTCGCCCCTCCTGGAAATCCTGGGTCATCTGACTTGCTGGGCAAGTGCGCTAACCAATACAATATGGGACATAGTTGTCGTCTTTCTTTAGTGCCCTGTTGCTTTGCATCCTTCTTACTGTTCTTTCTGCCCACCTAGGAATTGGATTATGAAGAAATGCAAGAAATACAGCTGGTTGTGAAGCTTGTGAATCAGGCAGCATACCACAGCTCAGTTTCTACTGTTGATCAAGCCAGCACCATTACAGTAAAACTCCACGTGAAGGATCAGAAGGAGGGCTTTAAATTTAAGCCGATAAGATGGATCGTGAACCGTACTGAAACTACAAAAACTACAACCTTCACCAATGAAGTACTTGGAAAATACGTAGCAGTGAGTGCTGACAGCGGGAAAGAAAGTAGTCAAACCACGTAAGAGCCAGGTTTCGTTTATCTGTATAATAATAATCCTTGCATTTGATATAGTGTTGTCATTGAGACGTCTATACAGAATATAGAATCGTAGAATTACACAGCACAGAAGGAGGCCATTCAGCCCATCGTATCTATGCTGGATCTTTGGAAAGAGCTATCCAAATCAATCCCACTCCCCCGCTCTCCCCCCATAGCCCTGCAAACTTGTCCTCCCAAAATAATTATCTACTCTCTTAAAAATTGTTTATTGAATCGTCTTCCACCACCCTTTCAGCAATACATTCCAGATCTGAACAACTCGCTGTGTGAAAATATTTCTCCTCCCCTCCCCTCTGTTTCTTTTAACAACTATTTTAAATCAGTGTCCTCGGGTTACCCACCCACCCACCAGTGGAAACAGTTTTCCTTGGGACATCCTCCTGACGTGAAGGATGCTCTATAAATATAATTTTGTTGTTGTTGTTCCTTATTCACTCTTACGAATCCCCTCATAATTTTGAAAACTTCTATTAAGTCTCCTCTTAGCCTTCTCTGCTCCAAGGAGAATAATCCCGGCTTCTCTCGCCTCTCCTGATAACTGAAGTCCCTCATTCCTGGTAACTCTCCTTTGCTCCCTCTCCAATGCCTTGACATCCTTCATAAAGTGTAGTGCCCAGAGCTGAACACGGTCTCTCGCTGAGGCCTAACCAGTGTTTTATAAAGGTTCATTATAACTTCCTGACTTTTGTACTCTATGCCCCTATTTATAAAACCTAGTATCCCGTATGCTTTTTGTGACAGCTTTATCTACCTGTCCACCTTCAAACATTTACTTATGTGAACCCCCAGGTCTCTCTGTTCCTTCACCCCCTTTAAGATTGTACCATCAGCTTATATTGCCTCTCCTCATTCTTTCTGCCAAAATGCTTCACTTTGCATTTCCCCACATTAAACTCCATCTGCCACGTCTCTGCCCATTTTACCAGTCGGTCTATGTCCATTTGCAGTCTGCTACTATCCTCCTCACTGTTTACTACGCTTCCTAGCTTAGTATCATCTGTAAACTGAGAGCCATCACTGCACATTTCTCTCCAGTCAGAAAAACAACCATTCACCACCGCTCTCTGCTTTCTGTCTCCCAGACAGTTCTGTATCCACAATGCCACTGTCCCTTTAATACCGTGCGCTTCTATTTTTCTTACAAGTCTCTTATGTGGCACTTTTATCAAATGCCTTTTGAAAATCATATAAACTACATCAACTGCACTACCTTCATCCACCCTCTCCACTACTTCATCACAAATCAGGTTTGTTAGACACGATTTGCCTTTAACAAATCTGTGTTGGCTGTTCTTTATTAGCCCATATTTTTCTAAGTGAAAATTTATTTTATCCCGGATTATAGTCTCTAGACTTTTCCTCACTACTGAAGTTAGACTGACTGGCCTGTAGTTCCCGGCTTTATCCTTCTGACCCTTTTTGTACAGTGGAGTAATATTTGCAACCCTCCAGTCCTCTGGCACCACCCCGGTGTCCAAGGAGGATTGAAAAATTGCAGCCAGAGCCTCCGCTGTTTCCACTCTTACTTCCCTCTGGACCGGATTACTTATCCACCTTGAGCACTAACAACCTTTTTAGTACCTCCTCTCGGTTTATTCTTATCTAATTTCTCTACCTTCTCCTCCGATACTGTGGCATTGGCTGCATCTCTTTTGTGAAGACAGATACAAAGTACTCATTCAATACGTCTGCCCCCACAAGAAGATTTCCTCTTTGATCCCTAATTGGACCCACCCTACCTTGACTAACATTTTATTTTTTATATGCTTATAACATACTTTAGAGTTCCCTTTTATGTTACCTGCTAATTTTTCTTCATACAATCTCTTTGCGCCTCTTATTTCCTTCACAGTTCTCCTCTGTACTTTCTATATTCTATTTGATGATCTTCTCCACCCCCAGGCAGCGAAACAGCCCATTATTCATTACACTAACATTTCTGAACAATCCTTGTATTTGATACAGCGCCTTATCACATCATCGAGACGTCTCAAAGCGCTTCACAGGATCTAGAATGGAATGCGCTCTCTCTTCCTGGAGGGACACATCCTGCTCATCTAATTCTGGAAAGTATTAGGCGCAGGTTGGCAAGAGCCAAGGCTTGGGGACCCCACAGTGTGCGTTGGGGTAACTGCTGGAGTTTAACCAGCTAAAACCGCAAAGCTTGCCATTGATAGCACTGATTGGCAAACTTTCCCGCTGCTTGTCCAGCTAGGACCACCCTACCCGTAAAGCTTTTAGCTTGCCGGGTTTACAGGAGCTGAATGGGATGATTCCCAGTGACTGCTGCAGTAAAGCGTTAGCATAGAATAAATGGGTTCTAAGTGCCAACGTGAGGCTTGAACACACAACCTTCTGACCGAGAGGTGAGAGTGCTACCGACTGAGCCAGGCTGACACTGTATTTCAGGGCTGAATTTCAATCACTGTGCATAAAATGACCCATTCTTTCAATGTTTGCAACAGGTACGCAAAGCATGTCGATCAGGCTAACTGGGTAACTGTTAATTCTGTTACCGGTGAGATCACCCTTATCAAGCCGCTTGATCGGGAATCAAAGTACGTAGTCGATGGGAAGTACATTGTGACAATATTGGCCATAAATCATGAAAGTAAGTAACATCGCACTATTTTCAAAAAATCCTACAAATGGAGAGCTCATAAAATTAAAAAAATTGCAGAATGGGAGGAGGGTAGCTCTTAATTCTCTGACTATATCTATATGTACCTTTGTGAGTGTTGCCAGCCTATTTAACATTTAATCAGTATCCACCATCTCTTGTCTAAAGGGGGAGTGGGTCTAGTTGGTAGCTCTTTCAAAGAGCAAGCAGTGGCATGATGGGCCGAATGGCCTCCTCCTCCTTAATAATAATAACATTAATAATCCTTGCATTTGATATAGTGCATTTGTGGAGTCCTGTAGCTCAGTGGTTAGAGCACTCGCTTTGCAAGTGAGAGACCCAAGTTCAATTCCAGGCAGAGGGCGAAACCTTGGGCAAGTTTCCTTACTCCACACAGAGCCTAATAATAATCCCTCCAAAAAAACAAAAACAATAATAAATTGGTCATTTTCAATCTACGACTGTTTGTGGGACATTGCTGTGCGCAATTGGCTGCCGCGTTCGCCCACAAATATACAGTCAATTCACTTTACAGTGTGTTCTGTGAAGCGCTTTGGGACATCCTCCCGACGTGAAAAGCGCTATATCAAATGCAAGGATTATTATTATTATTATTATATAGCACTTTTCACGTCTTCTAGACGTTTCAAAGCGCTTCACAGAATATACTGTAAAGTGAATTGACTGTGTATTTGTGGGCAAAACGCGACAGACAATTGCAAACGGCAGTGTCCCACAAACAGTCGTAGATTGAAGTGACCAATTTATTATTGCTTTTTTTTCTTGAGGGATTATTATCAGTTGTGTGGAGTAAGGAAACTTGCCCAAGGTTTCTACGCTGCCGCAAATCGAACCCAGTTCTCTCACTTGAGAGGCGAGTGCTCTAACCACTGAGATACAGGACTGTACTGTAGGATTATATGATAAACGCTGGTGGGTCAAGGTAGAGTCCCGTTGCGTAATGGTAGCGTGCTCGCCTCGCCTCGCAAGCGAGAGGATCCGGGTTCGATTTTGTGGGTTCAGTTGGCAGCCGCGTTTAGATCAGAGTATCAAGGGAAATGGGGCACAGGCAGGTAATTGGAGTCGATATCAGTCATTACTTAATAGAATGGTGGAACAGGCTCAAAGGGTTGAATGACCTCCTCCTTTTATTATGTTCCAGTGATTCAGGCTCTGATTTTTAAATCAATACTTCATATGTGAGGCCAGATTCTCAGATCCAGTCAGAGTGGCTGAGGTAGCGAACAGGCCAGCAGAGGTCAGCAAAGGAGGCTGTTTTTGTTAACTGATATATTGTCACTCCCTCAAAAGTTTAAATGAAAGTTAGAGAGAATCATAACTACTTCAAGACCCTCTCTTAACTTAGCATCTTAACAAAGCTGGGGGTTTGGTTCTTTTTTTTCTGGGGGGGGGTCAGTCGGAAGTCTGACACGTGCAGAAACCCATCACTGTGCTTAAGAGTCTCCAAACCATACTGAGAATTCCACGCTTCCCACCTACACTTAGAAGTCCCAGAGATAGATTGTTGGAATGGAATGCGCTCTCTCTCCCTGGAGGGACACATCCTGTTTACCTAATTCCAGAAAGTATTACAACAGCAACCCCTTGGATTTATATAGTGCCCTCCACACTGGACCGTGTCTCGGCGTCTGCGCATTAGGCGCAGGTTGGCAAGAGCCAAGGCTTGGGGGATTCCAGAGTGTGCGTTGGGGTAACTGCTGGAGTCTAATCAGCTACAACCGCGTAGCTTGCCATTGATATCACTGTCTGGCAAGTTTTACCTCTGCTCGTCCAGCTTGGACCACCCTACCCATTAGGGCTTTGGCTTGCAGGGGTAACAGGAACTGAGTAGGAGGATTCCCTGCCCCCAGTGACTGGTCTGCCCTTCCAAGTCCTGCCGCTGGGCTGTGCTGTCATCAGCAGTGCCCTGGAATACCTGGCTCAGTAACCGGACTACCAAGACCACCACAGTTATATTCCGACATTCTGTGGCCAAACATATCACCTTGGAGCCAGTTCAGCTCGAAGGAGACCCTGCTGAACGTAAAAGCTGTAAGCCCCTTTCTCATTGTGTGTGTGTGCAATGTCATACCCTTTTACCAAAAAACACTATTGGTCCTATAATTGGATTTTTTTCTCTAGAAGTTGAACTGTTCCTATGCCTGTACGTACTAACACATTACAAATTTACATTTATATCGTGGCTTTCACGTCAGGAGGACAATAATAATACCTCCAAAAACAAAACAATAATAAATTGGTCATTTGCAATCTACGACTGTTTGTGGGACACTGCTGTGCGCAATTGGCTGCCGCGTTCGCCCACAAATATATACAGTCAATTCACTTTACAGTATATTCTGTGAAGCGCTTTGGGACGTCCTCCCGACGTGAAATGCACTATATCAAATGCAAGGATTATTATTATTATTATTATTATCCCAAGATGTTTGACTTATCATCGAAGCAGGGGTGAGAGCCGATGGGGGTGTGGGATGGGGAGGGTGTTATAGTTTGTAAGAGGGCTTTAATGGTTGCTGTTAGAATTCTTTCTGCTTCCAGACATTATTTGATTACACAGTCACTTTACGGTATATTCTGTGAAGCGCTTAGAGATATCTCAAATACGTGATAAGGCGCTATATCAAATGCAAAGATTATTAAGAATTATTAGTCTAAACTGATCAACCCCTTCCCAACCTCGCCCAGCACCACTAGATCCTCATCCATCAGAGGATCGACTTTAAACTCACTTTTAAAGCCCACCACGGCCTTGCTCCTCCCTACCTCTGTGACCTCTTAACACCAGAGCCAACCTTCCCAATCCCTCCGCTCACCAGGCACTGGCCTGCTCCATGTCCTTCCTGCTCTGCCAGCCTACCATTGGTGATCGAGCCTTCAGCCTTTTTGCCGACCCTTTGAAACTCCAAAATGGAATCTCTCCGCCTCCTTCAAGACCTTCCTCATTGACCCTTCCTTCAGCCACACTCTCACCGCCACCCCGCCACTGCCCTCCAATCCTCTTGATTCCAACCCCAAGCTCAGGTCCAAACCTTTAACTGTCCAGGGTCTTGAGACGTCCTTCTAACGTGAAAAGCGCTTTTATAAATGCGATTTGTTATTGTTTATTCTCAAGCTGGGTCTTATGTGTTTGTTTTAAATACAGGCTCTATTTCCACAACATCCACTGGCACTATCATTTTGAATGTCGAAGATTCCAATGATAACGTTCCCATCATTCAAGATTTAGAGCCATGCATATGCGACAAGACCAAAATGATTAAAATCACCGCTGTTGACATCGATCAGGTTCCAAACTCCGTTCCTTTCACATTTCAGCTGGGAAAAGACCAAATCAACAAGTGGAAGATTGGACGCGCAGATGGTAAGAAGGCACAAAGTCCAGCTCAGTCGTAGCATATTTGTTAGAGCACTGCTCTAATTAATTAATACAATTAATTCACTTTACAATATAGGCTGGAGCCTACTGAGTGGAGGAAGCAGACAGGTTGATATGGGGTCATAGAAGTCTGGAGGAGCAAGGTCGGGGAGGGTTTTGAAGGCGAGGACGAGGATTTTGAACTCTATCTTCTGGAGGATAGGGAGCCAGTGGAGCCGGGTGGGGGTGATGGGGTCACGGAGCCTGGTGTAGGAGAGGACATGACCTGCAGAGTTCTGATGATCTGCTGCTTGTGGAGGGAAGAGTTGGGAAGACAGACAAGAAGGGAGTTGGCATAGCGTAGTAGAACCTGGATGCAATGAATGTAAGGACGAGGGTCTTGGCTGCCTGAGGGGAGAGGCAGTGGTGCGTGTGGTTTTTTATTTTTTTTTTGCAAAAAATATAATTTAAGGTCTTCAACTTTTTTTAATTTTTCTTTGTTTCTTTCAAAAGCGACCAGCATGCAGCTGATTCCGTTATTTGACTTGTGGCCCGGCAGCTTTGATGTGCCAATAAAAGTGCAAGACAGACAGGGGGCTGGCTCCATGCAGAATGTTCGGATCAGAGTTGTCGAGTGTGATGATGCTCCTACCTACGGTGTCTGCGCAGCAAAGAGCGTGCAACGGTTTACTGCCCTCGGCGGTTCTGCAATAGGTCTCATGCTTCTCGGATTCCTTCTGCTCCTGCGTAAGTTGGACAAAGACTCCTGTTACCTGTACCTGTGTGTGGTATCCCGTAGTGTAGTGGTTAGAGCACTCGCCTCGTGAGCGAGAGGACCCTTGTTCGATTCCGGCCGGGACGAAACCTGAGGCAAGTTTCCTTTCTCCACACGGCCCTGTTTACCTAACAGTACGTAGGCACCCAGTTGTTTGTCAATTGGCCGATCACTTTCCGGGGATAATAATCCCACTGGGGGTCACTGCTCTGTGCAGTTGGCTGCCACGTTTCGGCCACAAAATGTAGTCAATCCACTTCACGGTATATTCTAATAAGGTACAATATCAAATGCAAGGATTGTAATTATTATTAGTCACTGCACTTTATATTAATCCTGTGAAGCGCTTTGAGATAAGTGATGATGTTATTATGTATTATTATAATATTATAAATTGTTCCTCCAGTTATCCCCATGCTATTACTATTCTGCAAGTTCGGTAGTGATCACTCGGGTAAATTTGAACAAATTCCCAGTGAACCTGTGTGGAACCTGCCAATACAGGACGTGGAGGGACCAGAACCAGTGGACCCGGTTAGTACTGAGACATTCAAACTGGACAAGCCACCAGGTAGACAAGTGTAGGCCTCTTTTAGATCAAGACTGAAGACCTTTCCTCTTTGACCGTGCTTACAGTCACCTCCTCCCTCCCCTGCTAACTCTGCGTTATGTTCCACCACTGCTAAGTGCTCCGAGACGCTGCCCTTTGTGACTGTATCAAATACAATTCCTGGGGATGCAGCAGAAATGCTTCCTCCGACCCATTTGCAAAGTCCAGGATCGAGCAGTCAGCTGGATTTGTGGCAAACACATAAAGGGGCTACAGGGACAAGGGCTATAGCCTGCACTGACCTGTTGTTAAGCACCCTGGAGGTGGCTTCATAGCAGGCACCTCTATTTGCCAAAGACACTCATGTGAGGACCTGGATTAAGTATCTGATGCTGAGTTAAGATAATAGTAATTAGAAATAATTATTATTATTGTGTTGCATCTCTCACACAAAACTCCCACACCCTTCTCTCAGTGCCGCTGTCTCACCTTTGGAGGCCTGTAGCGTAGTGGTTAGCGCGCTCGCGTCGCAAGCAAGAGGACCGGGTTCGATTCCATTCCCGGGCTAGGCGAAACCTTAAGCAAGTTTCCTTACTCCACACGCCTTTGCTTACCTAGCAGTATGTAGGAACCCAGTTGTTAGGCGATTGGCTTTTCCGGTGGTAATAATCACTTAAAAAAAATGATAATTTAGACACTCAATTTATGATCGTTTGTGGGACGTCACTGTGCGCAATTGGCAGCCGTAAACACACAGTGTATCCTGTGAAGCGCTCTGAGACGTCTCAAAGACATAATAAGGCGCTGTATCAAATGCAAGGATTATAATTATTAATTATTGAACATTCTATTTTTGGACAGGGTGAATGTGGAATCGGATTAATAAATGGTTCCTGTGCAGTAAATGGTTCCAGTGCATACATTGGTTCCAGTGCATACATTGGTTCCGGTGCATACATTGGTTCCGGTTTATATGGAGGAGGTGGTGGAGTTGGAGGAGGTGGTGGAGTTGGAGGAGGTGGTGGAGTTGGAGGAGGTGGTGGAGTTGGAGGACTTGGTGGAGTTGGAGGAGGTGTTGGTGGAAGAGGAGGTGGTGGAGGAGGTTTTACAATAACTGAAACTAGCATCATTGGTGATAACCACAACCACAACCATAGTGTCATTTTTATACCGGGAGGCCATAAAGATTCCAGCAGTCAATGCATTGGACAAACGATTCAAAGTCAAGTTGGTTACCAGTCAACAAAAATTGGAAGGAGTGATAGATACTGTGAATCCTCCATTGAAAAATACTTTAACGAGGTATGTCTTGCAGCTTACTGATCTGTCGTGTCGTGTAGTGTATTGGTTAAAGCGCTTGGCTCGCAAGCGGGATCGATCCCCGGGCAGGACGAAATCTTAGGCAAGTTTCCTTACTTGCACGCTTCTGTTTACCTAGCAGTCAGTCAGGAACCCAGTTGTTCTTCGATTGGAAGGGAAAAAACCCTCGGGGGAAAAAAAATTGGTGACTCACTCCACAATTGTTTGCATTTGGCTGCCTCGTTTCACCCACAAAAATATACATTTAATCCACTTTACAATATATATATTTTGTGAAGTGCTTTGAGACATCTCAACAAAATGAACTGTATCAAATGCAAAGATTATTAAAAACGAGCCCAATTGTGAAACCTATCTTTGGAGTAACTTTTTAAAGTACATTAGAACACATACTGTACCAAATTGGGCCGTCTTGAAAAGGTGTGATCTATGATAACCCTGGAAGGATCATGTGTCCTATAATTAAACAAAAAATTTGATTCAATTCACCTTTCAAAGTGCAGCTTAATTTGTGCAGATTTTTCTTTTCATGTAACACTAGAAAATGTGACCATCAATAAGGTTTGTTTTAAGGAGAAACTTCAACTAGCATGGACTTACTGCACACCCTCACCTTCCCCGCACCACCATCAGTGACCAAGTCTTTGGTTCCTATGCCCCTAACTGTTGTGTGCAATTGGCTCCTGCTCCCGGGCAAAATATATAGTCAATTCACTTTATACCGTACCCATTGCAGCGATACAATATGGAATGTAGATTGACACACAGACTGACATTTCGTCTTTATCTATACTCAGCTGGGAGGACTCCTGTGGGAGGATTCAATGGGAGGACTCCTTTAATATATTTTCTCTCACAGTCTCTCTCTCTCTCTCTCTGTCTTTCTTCGTCTCTCTCTTTCAGTCTGTCTCTCTCAGTCTCTCTCTTTCTCTCAGCCTCTCTCTCTGTGTCTCTCCCAGAAAATACAGTCACTTTATAATATATTCTCTCTCAGTCTCACAGATATTTTTGGCTGCAAACCATTATTATATACTGTATATCACAGTGGACATCATGTCACAATGGATGATGTGACAACTGATTGACGTAGAGATGTGATTTAGGATATCTTATATTTTAGGGCTTAATTTTTAATATAGTTCATCAACGATAGGAGCTTCGCCCACAAAAAAAAAATGTGCTCATGACACTCCCAGATGCAAGAGCTTTCCGAAGAGGTATAAATCATATCTCTACGTCAATCGGTTACTGCGTGATTGTTGGATACACTGACACACAGACATTTCATCTTTATTAGTATAGATTAGGAACAGTGCTCCGAGATACTGCTCCGTGTGAAAGGCGCTATATAAACGTAAATTGTTGTTGTTGTAATCCACATTTCTTTTGAACCATTTGTTAATGCACATTTCTTTTCTCGTAGAAGTTGTACGGCTCCGCGGCAAAGACGGAAGCCTTCGCACGCGACACTCTGCTGGTTTATAATTACGAAGGACTGGGCTCCCTGGCAGGCTCCATCGACGACTTGCACGAGGGCGAGGTGCAAGATTTATCCTTCTTGGATGATTTAGGACCAAGTTTCAAGACCTTAGCCAGCATCTGCACCGGTACGTTTGAGAGCGAAATCTCGACAGTAAACACCAACACTGTGTCCGAAACCTCTGTCATTCAAGAGGGATGGAGTTCATCTACTGCAGGGAAGATGCACACCAATGCAGACATGCTGCAGCCAATGCACATAAAAGTAATAACTCCCCCAAAGCAAGTTGTCGTGACCACGAGAATTGAATCCCCCATGGAGATCATGCCACAGGTGATCCAAGGGCCCGACGTGACCAATCTCTTCATCAATAAGAATGTTGTGAGCAAGTCGGTTCATGCTTCCGGTCAGGAGTTCCACGGAATGACCGGTCTGCCAGGGGCAGGCATTGGCTACCAGGAGTTGGTGAGCCAGTCCACATCTACTTTCCACCCGGGCGGGATGCAAGAGGCTGCCATCGTCGTCGAACCCCAGACCGTCGTCCAAAAAAATGTCATCCTGAACAGGTCGACCAATTCTCCCAGGAGGGAGATGCAGAGCGTGCAGTTTGGTACTGAGTCGGAAAACCAGAGCAACGTAATGTTCACCAACAGATCTGTGCAATCTGGGGAAGTCTCACACAGCACAGTGACGAAAGTAGTGAAAACTGCCAGCCTGCTGCAGTAACAGCCCTCTGGTTCCACGTCCACACAAGTCATCATGCAATCTCACTGGAAAAACACTACCGCTTTGGGGGAGGGGAAAGAAAATAAGTGCACAAGCGATCGTGAAGTGCAGGCAATTTGGGAAAAAGGGGTCGGGGGAACATGCACGCTTTTAGAAGCAAGATCTTTTTTGTATATGTTTATGTTCCAATGTATATTTTGCGTTCCAGCTTAGGTTGGCAAGAACCAACACTTGGGGACTCCAGAGAGGGCATTCTTTTGTACACTTCTTATCGCTGAGTCAGTGACAAATTAAGCAAGATGTGTGTTCTATTTTTGTTAATAGTAATTAATGGTAATTCAAGTTGAGGTACAGATCAGCCATGATCTTATAGAATGGCAGAACAGGCTCGAGGGGCTGAATGGCCATCACGTGTTTTCTTATGTTCCTATGTTAAACTGTTTGTTGCACTTTTTTTTCTAAAATTGGGATAAGGGTTTAGTTTTAGTTCCTGGATTATATAGATGAGAGAATAATATAGGACTGTGGAATCCAATGGTAATAATGGGATCGAAGATGTGGAAATTCTCTTATGGGCTGACTTCATTCAAGAAGTTGGGTGTACATCATACCGATCGGTCAGTTCTGCTCTGAATCATTCTATTTTGTGAAGGGAATGTCCTGCAGCGCAATGATTAGAGCACTTGCCTCACAAGCGAGAGGACCTGGGTTTGATTCCCGGGCGGGGCGAAACGTTGGGCAATTTTCCTTACTCCACACACCTCTGTTTACCTAGCAGTAAGTAGGAATCCGGTGGTTAGTCAATTGGCGGATCGCTTTTCTGGGCGTAATAATTTCTTCAAAATAAATTTTAAAAATTGGTCACTCAATCCACGACATGTTTGTGGGGCACTGCTGTGTGCAATCCACTGCTACCTTTCACCCACAAAATATACAGTGAAGCGCTTTGAGACGTCTCAAAGTCATGATAAGGCACTGTATCAAATCCAAGTATTATTATTATGGTAAGACACTATATTATTCTTTTCAGAATGGAGGTCCTTTTATCAGTGTGACCAATTCACAAAGTGGTGTATTGCTCTATAATGCATTTTCCTGTCTTCGATTGAATCAGTGCTTAACACAAGATCCATCGCTTACATTAAATGGGTTCTAATCACCTAATTCATTACATCAATTGATTATCAGTTTACAATTACCAACAGATATGTGTCATCTCCAGTAAACTACTGATAACTCAACCCTGGTTTACCTGGTCACTACCATACTATCAATATCCCAGCCACCTTTATTCATGAACTTACACATATATCTAACTCGCCACTGCTGATGACTCTTCACTGAGCTCTTTTCCCTTGGAGTGATCAATTATCAGGAGTTTACCGTACATAACATGTAGTGAGCTCTCAGACACTATCTTGCATGGGGGGCATTTATACAAATACTATTATTGTAATTTTTTAATGCAGTTTTTGAAGATTAAAAACATGAAGATTACCTTAAATAAATGCAGCTGCATCGCTACGATTACAACAACAAAATTACACTTGTATAGCGCCTTTCACGTTGGGAAGGCTGGACAGACAGAGTTTCGGAACCAAGCTGGGGATCGGGGTGAGGGAGGGTGGAGGGTAGGGGGGGAAGCAGGGTGATTGAAAGCATGGTCGAAGAGGAAGGTCTTGAAATGAGTCTTGAAAGAGGCAAGGGAGGGGGTGAGGCAGAGATGCAGGATGGAATTCCAGAGGGTAGGGATAGAATAGCAGAAGACCCGCCTGCCAATACAAGGGCGAGCAAGGCGGGGGATGTGAAGCAGGCCGGAGCCCGCTGAGCGGAGAGAGCGAGCAGGATGGTAGGGGGTTAGGTCGCAGAAGTAAGGGGTAGCAAGACCATGCTGTACAGATTTTTGTTAGGTAAGGGTATCAAGAGATATGGGGCAAAGGCAGGTAAATGGACTTGAGATATTGATCTGATAGAATGGTGGAGCAGGCTCGAGGGGCTGAATGGCCTACTCCTGTTCCTATGTTTCACCATCTGTAAGATCCCTTCCTCTGCATCCAACTCTGTCTCTGTGAATCGTTCAGACTTTGTCGCAAGTGAAGGCCCCTGCATAAAAGTAAGGTGTTGCTGTTCACCTTTTGGAGGGTTCCCATTACACCAGCTCCACTGGCTCCCTATCACCGAATGGATTGATTTCAAGATACTCACACTCGTCTTCAAACCCCGTCATGCCCTGACACCTCCCTACCTCTCCGACCTGCTTACTTCCCAACCCACGAGACTTGTCGTTGTCCTCTGCTTGTCCCTCATGCCCTCCATTCCTCCCATCGGTGGCCGCGCTTTCAGCCACTACGCCCCGAAACTCTGGAATACTCTTCCTCAATCCCTCCACCTTGCCCCCTTCTTTCCCTTGCTTGAAGATCTTCCTCCCACTCTGGCTCAGTGTCATGCTTTGCCACAGTCAATGCTCTGGGACGCTACCCTACTTGAGGAGCGCTATGTAAATGCAAGTTGTTATTGCACAAATCAAATCGTAGGAGCCCGAACAGTTAAAGCAATTTTTTGATGCCACGCTCACCAGGAAACCACAGGGTGCAGAAACTTGCTACACAAATGATTTAAGAACAAATTTTATTTTTTTGTTCTTGCAGTGTACCAATACATGCATTTAGAGATGCGCTTTGTTTAAATTGTCATGGTCTGTTGCATTGGGAGTTGGATAGATTTTAGGAATACAAGTATTTTTATTCTATTGGAATATGTTATATTTTCACAGAAGTAGGTAATTATTAGTAGTCTGTCTACACATGATTTGCTTGTTTCTTTTTTACTTTGTATAGATATGGAATCGGCGAGACATATTCATCAATAATAATAACAAATCCTCAAATCGCTAGATTTGATTGATAGTTTTTCTTACAAGAAATGTATATCTTAAGTTTCGATGTTTGGTTCAAATAAACATTTGAGTAAAACAAAATTGTCTTGTTTCACGTTTGCTAATTTGTTCGTTTGCATCTTCTCCATTTACATTAAATCCATCTTGGTTTTTTTCTTAATTTAAAAAACAAGCTTATCTATTGGTCTGTTGGTCAGGCGGGTGTCTTTGACAAACCAAGCTGAGAATTCCACGCCTCCCACCTTCACATGGAAATTCCAGAGAAATTGTTGGAATGGAATCCTCTCTCCCTGGAGGGACACATCGTGCTTACCTAATTCTGGAAAGTATTAGGTACAGGTTGGCAAGAGCCAAGGCTTGGGGACCCCACAGTGTGCGTTGCAGTAACTGCTGGAGTTTAGCCAACTACAACTGCATGGCTTGCCATTGATATCACTGTCTGGCAAGCTCGACTACTGCTTGGCCAGCTAGGACCACCCAATCCGTTAGGTCTTTGACTTGCAGGGTTAACAACTACAACAAAATTACATTTGTATAGCGCCTTTCGCGTTGGGAGGACGTCCCAAGGGGCTGAACACTCCGTGTTTCGGACCCGAGCTGGGGGTCAGGGTCAGGGAGAGTGGATGGCGGGGGGTGGGGGGGATAAGGCTGATCAAAAGGGGTTAGGAGATCACAACGGTAGAGGGCAGCAAGGCCATGGAGGGCTTTGACAGTGAGGACCAAGATCTTGAACTGTATCCTCTGTGTGATGCGAAGCCAGTGGAGTCGGGCGAGGATGGGGAGCAAGTTTAGGCAGCGAGTTGTTACGATCCAGAATCCATTGCCTGAAAGAGTGGTGTAACCAGATTCATTAATAACTTTCAAAAACAGAATTGAGTGTACACTTGAATAGGAAAAGTGTACAAGGCCATGGGGAAAGAGAGGGGGAGTGGAACGAGTTGGGTCTCTCTTTCAAAGAGCTGGCACAGGCACAATTGGTCAAATGGCTTCCTTCTGTGCTGTAAAATTCTATGATTCTAGTCTGTGGCTAACTCCAGGAAGATGACATTAGACCTTGATATGAGTGAGAGAGGAATAGAAGGGTTTGAGAGGGAGTAAAATAATAAATAATAAGCCTTGCATTTTATACAGTGCCTTACCATGTCATTGAGACGTCTCAAAGCACTTCACAGAATATATTATGAAGTGAATTGATTATATAGTTTGTGGGTGTCTTCCCCCGGCTCTGAGTCAGGCTCTGCCACTGTTAAGCGCTCTGAGACTCTACTCTGCGTGGAGGGCACTATATAAGTGCAAGTTGTTGTTGGGCAAAACGTGGCAGCCAATTGCACACAGCAGTGTCCCAAAAACAATCGTGGATTGAGTGACAGGATTTTCTTTTGAACTATTATTACACCCAGAAAGCGGACCGCCAATTGATTAACAACCCAGATTCCTACTTACTGCTTGGTAAACAGAGGTGTGTGGGGTAAAAAAGCATCCCAAGGTTTCTCCCCACTTGAGAATCGAACCTGAGTCCTCTCAGTTGTGAGGTGAGTGCTCTAACTATTACGCTACACGACTCCACTTAATGAGTGTTATTCCATGACTTTAGGCAAGTTTCCCTGCTCCACAATCCTCTGTTTACCTAGCAGTAAATAGGAACCCAGTTGTTAGTCAATTGGCATATTGCTTTTCTGGGGGGTAATAATAATTTGGTCACTCAATCCATGACTGTTTGTGGGACACTGCTGTGTGCAATTGGCTGCCGTGTTTCGCCTACAAAATATACAATCAATTCACTTTACAGTATATCCTGTGAAGCGCTTTGAGACGTCTCGAACATGTGATAAGGCGCTGAATCAAATGCATGGATTATTATTATTAATAATACCTGCTAGACCATTTTGCTCATTGCAAGTTACAGAGTATAACTTGTGGCATTTCTTAAAGGGATTCCTTAACAAGGATTCTCGCTAGCATTCCCTTCAGAATTCCGTTCACAGCCAGTTACAAGAAGGGTGTGATTCCGATCTAACATACTGAGGAATCCTTTCTAACACATGCCAAAAATTAGACTCGATCCTTTCAGCACCTTTGCCCTATAGAATATCTATCTCAACTAACAGTATTGAGTAGAACTCCACTCGCTGTTTGCAAAAGAAAAATGATTAACCAATAAAAAAACATTGTGTAACAGATTGCCTTGGCAAAAATATGATAACACTGTTTGGTTTTATAATGAGATATCATTTCTCGTAGCTATCACCTTAAGATAAGATATAAGAGATTTGTAGAGACAAAGAATATGGCCTTTAACCTTTCGAGGCTTGGGCTGTGGATAAATCTTTAAACTATGCTAGAATGTCACACAAACAAGTATAGGTAGAGAAAGCTTGAATAGCAACCATTTTGAAGTGGATTAGGATTATCCGCTCGACTGGCTCTATCCTTCCCGCATGCCCTCCGTTCCACTATCGGTGGATGCGCTTTCAGCCATTACGCCCCGAAAC